CAATTTTAAGATGTGTTCCCTCCTTCCATTTAAAACATTGCTCTTTTAGTTATCACCGTACTCGTCTTTGGGCAATTTTACATCAAATTTAAGAGTTTGGAGGTTATATCGTTCGTAACAGAATGAGTAGGAGGAGGGCCAAGTTTTATGTGCTGTTTAAAAGCTTTCTGAACATGAATGGGATGCTGTGCTCAGCTTGAGATTCCTGGAGAAGGATGTGATGAACTACAAGGTCAAAGATGAACTTTAAATTCAATAGGCCTGTCGTCATCAGCTTGAGTTTGCCAAATAAACCGCTATTTTCAGACTCAGGATATTATCCCAAAGCTCGAAATTGTGTCTTCACCAGATTGATACCCTCATCCGCTAGCCCGCTATTTCCCAAATAGCGGGATATTTTGAAAACAAGACCAAGATATCTTGAGATATTTCCTTGACCAAATATCACGCTAATTGCAACTGCAGGTTGATGCAGATGCAAATTAGCTGGATAATTTGTGATCAAGATAGTTAACATAGCGGGTTATTTGGCAAACTCGAGCTGATGGAGATAGACATCCTTTGTATTCTGAGAATACTGATCTGGGCCCCAGTCAATGAACTTGTTATCGATAGAAACTTATACTAATTGTCATAAGCAACTATAATTGTTGCAATTAAGTGGATGCATGTGAGCAAATTAGTCAAAGAAATGTGACACTGGTTTTTTATTAAAGACTTTAATGAAACAGGACCCTGGTGTAATACATACATGAACAGGATTAGAAACAAAGATGAATCAATCTTATCTTACACTGTTTTAGAGTTTGAACAGAAACGGAATCGTTTTTCTATGGTTTTTCTATCAGGGTTGATTGTAGATAGAAATAGGCATTTACATGCAGCTTGAGATTTCAAAGTAGCACACAACACTTTGATGAGTAGATCTCCAGCTTGAAATTTCAAGTCGATCTGTAGATTTCCTTTCTACTAGTTTACCCTCTCACTGACTCCTCTATGATCAAGACAAGGTCAGACAACATTTGCTCCTCAGGTTTCATGAAGAAGTATTCATGATATTGTAAATTTTCTACTTTGCCAAGGTAAAATAAGAATTTAAGGAACATAGGAGAGGGGTAAAGGGTTCATTTTGATCAGCTGACTTATGAATCATCAGCAGTGACCACTACGATTTACGAAGTAATTGAAGACTCCTGAAATATAATTGCAGTAACTTAAATTGAACGGGAGGGGCAGCCCAGTTACTTTGTACACTCAATCTAGATGTATGCACTCCTTGAAATTGTCCAGCAATACAGAAAAATAGATTGACTCACATATTTTGAGCATGAATTAAAAATGTTTAATTAGTTTAATATTATTGGATAATGAAAACAAACATACATAGAAGCTCAATATAAAAGAAAAGGAGACTGAAAATGAGGGGAGAGTTGTATGTAAGAATGAAGGATTGAGAGGGAAACGAGTAACAAGAAACAAGTACCAGTGAACAGAAAAGCGTGGTAGCTAGATGAAGAAACAGGCTGATCATGAAGAAAATAGACACTTCTCTTAATTCTATTTAATCGGCACTCCTGATTTGGCCCTGCCCTCTCTTGAGAATAATTCCTTGTGTTTCCTGAGAGAAATATAGTAATCAAAATGTCTGAGTCCGAATTAACTTATCAAAACTCTCTCCACTGAAATGATTTCACTTAGATTAGCTTAATGAGATTACAAAGGCTTCGATCTAAGATATCTTCATACTGTACAGGATTCCCCCCAGACGGGTAGCTGGGATTCAGAAATGCCTGACAAGGTCTCTGGAAATCACTCAAAGGTCCAGCTTTTTTAAGGGTTCATGAATGGAACAGTGAGCCCTAAATCTCTATGAAGCCTTCTGTGCTTGGCTTGGTTTTTGTAGATTTGATATGTTTAATCTTCAGTTAAGGACTAGGACAAGTGGATGAGCAAGATTATTTATTGCATATTTTGATCAGTTTTGTTCTTTAGAGCTAGCTGTAGAGCACCCCCCCCCCACTCTTTCTGTCTCCATCTCTCTTTCTCTTTTGCTCTCCTCTCCTCCTCTCTCTCATTCTCTCTCTCTCTCTCTGGTTTATTTTTTTGTGTTGAGATATACAGTAGTTTAATTTCAGTATTTGGCGATTCGCATGGAAACTTCATTGCAGGAGTGACATTTTAAACATGGATCATGAATCTGAAAATGATTATCTGGAGCTGTTTGGGCCAGTTTAATTAACATAAACATTTTATTTCAGTCGCTGAAGGTCATTCATTGTTCTTAATTAATTTAAATCTTATTTTATGCGACAACATGGAATGTGTTTATTGTCCCTCATTGTGAGAACTGACGTCAAGATCAATTTTGCTAAGAACTAATTTGAAGACCCTGCAGAATTATGGTATTGAAAATATGTATCAATACATGGAGAGAGAGAATTGGAGTGAGATCATGAGATAAGATGGATCTGTCACGGATAGTATGGTTCAGTGAAGGAGATTAGTAACTTTTTTTCACAAATCAAAACCGATTACAGCAGATGACAAAGATTGTAAAAAGAGGAGTTATGGATTGCACCAGGGTGGGTTAATTGGGAGCGTGATGAAAGCCTGGTAAAGGAAGGAGTGCTTTGACTTGTAACTCACCCTGCAAGTCATAACACCCGACCCTAGATGTGCATTTAACTCCGCTTACTCACAAGGACATGAGATCAGACTTACTTGAAGCTAGCTATGTGAAGTGGGTAATATAAGAAGAAAAAGGAATATTCATAAGTTTCAGAAGCACTTTCATGATGCGATGAGCTTAGAATGATGAAACAGCCATTTCTACACCTGTTAGTTGAACGTTGAGGAACAGGATACTTTAAGAGGCAATTTTATTGCAGGAGCCCTCCTAACATAGAGTAGAAAGCAAGTTGTATTTATTTTGAATTCATCATTGAAGGAAATATCTTTAAAAGATATGCATTCAAGGACATACAACTTAAAGGGGCAAATTTCCATTCAATTTTACCAGAGACATGCCAGTATCCCTGATCTCACATAATCCCTGATCTTTACAAATGAAATAATTTGGATGAATGGCAGTCTGTTTGGAAAGCTTGGAAGTTATCCTGAACCAAAGGATTCATGAGTTTCATCCTAATATCACAGGGGTAAGATACAGACCCTCCAAGTGATAAAATGTGACCTCTTGGTCATTTTCAAAATCTAGTGACCCAATTAGCAAATTATGATCATCGGGTTCTCAATTTAGAGACTTCCAGAAGATTAAAGTTTTAATGGTGAGATTAACCATCCATCTTGGCTTATTTCCACCCCTGGTTTCATGCTCGTTTCAAAATTCTATTCTTGAGAGCTATCAAGTTGAAATAATATTTTGCTTTTAAGCTAAAGATTATAAGTGTATCCGGACAATGGCCGACATGAAATGATCCGTAGAAGATGTTAAACAATTATTTTACTCACATGACCTGTTACTTCTGTGAACTACCCTTTCTTGATGTTTATGGCTTAATAAAATTTACCATAAACAGTTGAAATTAATCATAGGTAAATAATGAGGAAATGGTGGACAAAAATACATGTATACCACATTTGACGAGAACATGTCAAGACTTGCTTTAATACCTTGTAAAGTAAACATTTTATGACAGTCACTGAATGGATTATATGTTGTAGTGCAGGAAATGCGAGCTATGGTGAAATTCAATTAGCAAATTCAAGTTGATAATCTTTAATTTTGCAATAAAGCATTGGTTTACAAAGAAGCATATCTACTTCCAAGTCCATACATTTTGGAGAGTTTTCCTGTTTCTTAGCACAGAGTTCCCTCCCTCATTTCACCCCAAGGACCAAGTCTGTATGAGGAAGGCATGAGAAGTTGAGATAGTGGAGAGTTTCCTGACCCAAAGGGGATGTCCAGCAAGGCACTCCTGACCATTTAACGATTCTCTTGGGGCAGTGGCCATGTGATTGAAGAGAAATTGGATACCTTTCATGAAAATAAGGTTTTTTGTAAAAAGAGAATTACGAGAAAAAAAATGTAGCCCCTCCCAGTTCTAATTAAACAATTAGTAGATCAAAAGATAAACCACTTTTCATTATTGCGTTAATATTTCACAAAACGACTGTCACCTTGTACACAATATAATCATGCTTCCTTCAAATGTTTATAATGAGAGAAGCTGCATGGCCAGCAATGCAGATTAATTAATATTTATGTTATCTTGATTAATGAAAACTTAATAAAAGAAGAGTACAAAGACATGTAGGTTAGAATTAAGAACTTGATATGGCTCAGTAGAAGTTCAATGTAGACTGTTGATTAATCAACACATTGAGCCACCTTTGGTCAGTTGTTATCATGCGGCAAGTTATGTCTAATTAATGAGCTGGCAGTACTCTCTTAGGAGGAAATTCATGATAATTAAATCAATCAAACTAAGACAACAGTTCATGTACATGTATGTCCCTTTGGGGGGTATTTCTTATCAGAGTAATGACCTAACATCTGAACGATGTTGACATGTCTATGCCATCTGTTCTGTTATTCGAGAATCTAAGTAGAACCTATATTTTTAATTATAATATATTATTTTTATGATATGTTTTAAAGATATTTGACACAATTCCCAAAAGTGTGAGCTACTTTTTCTTCTTCTATGGGCAAGAAGTGGAATGTGTAGTTTCATTTTACTTTTAAGATCAGGTATTTGCATAAAAGCTAATTTCGGGCTCTGTAGAAAGTTACCCTGACAGCTGCCCTTAATGTAGAGGTTCATGTTTAATAGTTATGTGACCCTATTTTATAAGGGGACAACTTTATTGACCTGTCTAGTGCCTAGGCAGGGGAATGTTTTGTAATGTCAGCCTCCATAAGAATAGATTTCATTTTACAGTACTACTCTTTAGAAACAGTGTTGTTGCCAAGTTATGTGCTTGGCAGACCTACTTATCTCAATCTCTCTCATTGTTTTTATCTTCTGTACTAACAGGAGGTCACAGAGCTGGATCCACAGATTGTGAAGAGCTTTCTGTTGTCACACAGCCATCCACAGGGTGGGGGAGAGAAACCCGATGACATCACTTTATTGGTCGATCTGTTTATGGAACTTCTTCAGTGTTCTCCTGTAAGTATACCCTTCCAGATTTATTGAAGTGTACCAGTATGCACCATTTCCAAAACAGCCAAAGTGATGTAGTGGCCACCTGCCCACAGAGTCCACCTTCATTATTTGATTGTTACTCTTTAGTCTTCATGTCCATGTTTCTTTGTACTCTTACTTCATGAGGTATAATTTGTCTCTAAAAGGAAATCATATTAATTAGTAATTGTCTGAAATCTCAGACTATTTTTATCAAAGGTGTAGTTTTATCTTAACCTTTGATATTCCACAATTAGACAAAATGCCTAATGACAAATTTGTTGGTAACACTGTTGTCCTTTTATTCCCTAAAATTTCTTTCATAACATACCTCTTATGATAATAAAAACAATTATAGGTACAGTTTCCTTGAAGCCTTTGCTGCGCTATTCCATGGATTTTCTTAAATTCAGGTACCATATACTCCAAAGCTGTCTTGTTTTCATGGTTAGTGCTCCTATTCCTTATTGATTGTTACTGATACAGTCAATGTTATAGGGTAATGCAGTAAATTTTCTTCAGGTTTCTTTGTTGCCAAACCGAATACCATGCGTAGGAAAGAGATACCCCTTCTTTCATTCAGATCATGCCAAAACCAAAGAAAAATCTCTGCTGCTTAAAATAACTCCCATTCCCTGAACTCTTGCCAAAACATCACTAAATTTATTCCATCAACATATAACCTGGCTAAAGAGCAGCAAGTAGGACCAAATTACTGTGATTTAAAACATTTATGATAAGCTAAATCATGAATTTTGCCGTGACCCAAATCTTTTGTTTGTGTTTAACTTGCCTTGAAAAGAAATATTGAACTTCAAGATTTGTGTCATGTAATCCAAGCTTATTATCAAATTCTTCTCTCATATAAAGAAGCTATTGAATTTTGACTAAAAATTAAAGTGTCCCGCAGTGTACTTTTTTGCTTGGGAACAGGAGGAAAACATTTCCACATTTCCAAAACTCATAAACACATGATTTTCTGCTTCTGATGAAAACCAGATGAAAGTCACATGTTTTTCATTCATTTTCTGTGAACGCAAAGTTGTGTGTTTAATTTTGTCCATTTTTATTTCTTAGATCAAAACAGAAATACATTTTTACTTCCATATATCCTTCAAATGTTGCTTTGCTCAAACGAGCTTAAGTCTGTAAGCACAGGAAATGAGCTGTTATAGTATGTGATGGTTTAGGAGAGATTTCATGTGAATTCTATTACTGCTGGCAAGAATATGTATTGTAAGAATAGGGGATGAAATTACTGCAGCTCGCTGACAACTCGGTTTTGTCAGATCAAGTTCTATAATACAAAGAAGTTTAATCAACATGAATTTCCCTGTTTTTCATTGAATCTGTGAATCTGCAGATCCTGGTTTAGTGTATCAATGTGCTACTATGTGTATTATTATGTTCAACATGGAACGCAGTGCTGATTAAATTGAAGTGTATTGCATTTATATCTTTCTGAGTCTCTGATGGTATTGTATGGTGATGATTATAACAAATTTATCATCTTGACATGCTCAGTGTTTGCTCTTGTTATTCATTCTAAATAATACCAATGTTGTGTGTATCTCCAGTTGCCGGTAGAACACAACCACCTGTGGCTGCAACTCCTATATGTCCTCATCCTCGATGGTAGCAACCTGTTGCTCTTCATCAAGAAGAAGGTGGCAGCCACCGTCTTAGGCACCATGGCAGTTCACAGACCACAGGCTTCGATACAAGAGATTGGCTGCACTGTACTTTATCCACTGGCAAAGTTTAATCAGATTCCAGACTTGAAGGTATGTTTGTTTTTTCCACCGCATACATATTTTAGAATATTTGAAGAAAGTTGAATGCATTTTCAATTAATCAGTACTAGCAACAACAAAAAACTCCAAAAAAGAATTCATAAGTTACAGTACAAGTGATTAAAGATTAAGTGGCAGCAGTAACAGTAGGAGCAGTGGCTACAGCAGCCACTGAAAGAGTTGTAGTCGTTGTAAAAGTTGTCATTATAATTGTACTAGACAGCAGTGCAATTTGATCAACACTAATAGGTTTGACCTAAAAACAATTTAAAAACTACCCTGTTTGAATTGAGTTTGGCTCCATTACAAATCAATTTCCGGAGGTATGCTAAATTTAGATTTCATGTTTATTGAATAATTTGAATGATATGGTTGTGACCATACATGCAGAAAAACAGGAAATATTAGATAATTTTGAACTCAATGAATCAATTAAGAATAATTTGAATTTAAATAAGGTCAATAACATGTCCATGTAAAAGTATGTAATTTATCTTTATTATAACTGATTCATCTATAGAATAATATTTGCAATTTTATGTGTTTGATAATGTTTCCTTCCTTTCCCTCTTTTGGCAGGCGCCAATCCGCGAGAGTGGAATACAGGTCATTCTTCAGTCCATGGAGAAACATAGAAAGAGTGAAAAGCTGATGATCAAATCCCTGCAGGTCCTTGCCAATGTGGCATGCACAATGTCAAGTTATAGCAGTTGGGCTATACAGCAAGGTAGGTTTCAATATCCTTTCATCTCGTGAGTGTATCAACTCCCTATCCACCCCCTTCCCCCGTTTACGCCAAGACTCTGATATGGCCATCTTTAGACAGTTTGAACAGTTTTTTCTTTGAACACACATGTTATATTTGGATATATACGTTTTTGCATGACTGAAGTAGAGTCCCCATAAATTCAACTATGATACTAACCTGTGTTCTAGCTTTGTATTCTCGTAAGGAAGTAGGAACCCCTGAGTCAATGGAGTAACTTTCACAGTCATATTTATCGATATATGTACTACTTGCAGAGAAGAACGATGAAAGTGAAATAGTGCTTCTCATTTTTGTTTGAATCAAAGTTATTTTACTTTTTTTTTAAGGAGGGGGAGGGGGGCAATTTTCCTGAGGTGCCAGATACATTTGCCTTGGATATATTTACTGTAAATGTTAGTCCTAACATCTTGAACAGAGCAGTAGTTTCAAGCATTCCAGATTTGAATGAAAATAGGAATCCCTGTGCGAATGGAGTGACTTTCACAGAGATCATGATGTGACTTTACCTTTTGTTTAGGGAGGGGGAGGGGACGCATTTTCCTGAGGTGTCAAATACATTTGCTTTGGATGTATATTTACTGCAAATTTTAGTTCTAACATCTTGAACAGTGCAGTAGTTTCAAGCATTCCAGATTTGAATGAAAGTAGGAATCCCTGTGTGAATGGAGTGACTTTCACAGGGATCATGATGTGATATACGTGCACTGTTGGTACTGCCTGTTGGATATAAAATAGGAACAAAAGCAGTATTCATCATTTGTGTGAATGCTTAATTAAATCATATTCAAAATTCTGATTTTCTTTATTGTTCTGATGCTTTTTCTACCCTTACATGTAGATCCAAAATAGGTTTAAGTTCATGTACTTGCTTGTATTTGAGGTTTCTTTTGTCATGAAAGAAGGTTCCCTTGGCCAAGTTTCAACTTTGTTTAATAGAGAATCAAGGACTCTGGGTGTAGTAGAGTGACCTTCACCTAGCTATGCAATTTTTTCATTGAACTTTAATATGAGTGTAGTTCAGTTTCTCACTTCCAGGTGACCGAGTATATATTGTTTTTATTGAAGAACTCTTCCCAATGTATCTAGATCATTCTCTGCCCTTCTGTCTTAGAAGGTTGAATGCCTTGAACTTTATTTGACTTGCTGGTTTTCCAGCATCCTTTTGTTTAAAGAAAGTAGGGATCCTTGGGGCAATGGAGTGACTTTAACAGAGATCCTTGAATGATTCACATATCCTCGTAAGCCTTGCACAAAAGGAAATAAAACCCAGACATCAGGATAGATATCAATTTCTTGGGATCCCTCATTTTCTTCATTTTTCATCTACTTCACATAGTAATGGAATTATACATGCCTTAGGGCAAGTTCCAGTTTACCAAATGTGCTTACGGTAGGACAAAAAGCTTTTTTACTTGCTTATTGGAAACAAGCTGATCATCGTTTCAGATACCTGCATTTCTTAGTGATGATTATCTCCCTTGAACTCGTCTGCTTACAAGCAGACGGACACAAGTAACTCTGCGTCAATCGTCATTCCAGTCGAGTGCGATAAGAGACGCCACCAGCCAGCAAAAATCAAAACAAATGTGCGCTCTGATGCGGATTCATCGTCACACTGGATAGCAATCGATGGAGGGTGCCCCCAAGCTATACCACACTTCCGCCAAAGGTCATCGTGTGAACGTCTGGCATGGCATTGACATTTGACTGTGAGACAAATTTTCCCTTTCGTCTTTGTTGTAATCACGTTACCTTTACCTTGTCACATGATCATGCTCTGATGAAATTATAACCACCGTAAAATTTCCACTTGGTTGCAAAAGATGAGAGGTGATTGAGTTGATGACAGACACGTCTCTAACATAATAATATTGTTTAGCAGAAGTGTTGAAGCCTTTTACTACGCTCGACCAATCAGAAATGGGTATTGCCTTCTATCAAAACTACAGCTAAACATTGTCTTCCTCAACCTTAATGAAACACAGTGATCTCAAAAGTGAGATATAATGGGAGGCCAAGAATAGTAGACATTTAGTTTCATTTGCCATGTGTAATCTTACATTTCTTAGTGCCCTCTGCCCAGTGCTTCATCCATGTATTGCTGAGATAAGCCTGAAAGTTTCTTGAACTTTTGTGAGATTGTTGACAATCTAAGTTGCCAATTGTTTTTGCTCCCATTGCTAAACACTCTAATGTACTGTATTATGCAGACTATTTGCTGTATTCACTCTAGAAGTATTAACTGCCTTTATGCTTAGTTTGACTTCTGTTATTGAGCCAGTTAGTTGACTATACTGTCCAATATTTTAATTTTGGAATTCCATGGCTTTTTTATATCCTCATCTGTACATGGGAGTAGCTGCCAATCTTTGTCAATATCAGCATTATTTGGCGCCTTTTGCATTGATTTTTCTTCATAATAGTGCAACAAAAATCTTCTTCTTCAGATATAATAATTGATGTAACTCCATTTATTGAATCTAATTAATCTAATGTTATCCTTACTTTGTTTTAGTTTTTTATGTTTCATTATGACGAATGACGGAACCTGTAAGCACCTGTGCATTAGACTTTGTCAGTTAATTTGATAGAACCATGCTAAATCTTATTAATAACAAAATAAGGACAGAAAAAGGAGAGAAATCATATGAATAAACGGGCACCTGATACCAATAATCGAGCCAGTAAGGTATCGAAGCAGGTGACCCAAAGTCGCTCAGTATATATCAGAGCAGAATATATATTCTGTAACCCAGGTGACATAGTTACAATAGTAATGGACTGGAAAGCTCCTGGATTATACTGATGACCCAGTAAGATACTGTTAAAACTAGTCGTCCAGCGCGCGCGCGCTACTCAGCTACTGTAGATCACCGCCTCTGGATTATATTCTGTAACAGTAACTTACTGTGGAAGGCTTGTGCGGAATACGCGTGCGTACCATTAGGCAGCCTATGCCATACATGCTCGACCGGCTAGCGGCGGATCCAAGAGTTTTTTTTTCAAAGGAGGGGCATGAAGTGTTATATCGGCATGGGTCCCGGGGCCAAAGGGCCCCGGAAAAAAAAATTGAACTATAAGATGCTTTATGGTACATTCTGAGGCATTTCTGAATGCGTAAACTGAACATTTATTTGAAAATTCTGGGCTTTTCCCTGTTTTTTCGGAAGGAAAAGGGGGCATGCACCCCAACGCTCCCCATGGGTCCGGCCCTGGCAAGGCTAGCTAGCTCGACGCGATCCGGCAGGGCTAGCTCTCTGCAGTACTCCCAGGACTGGCGTCGACCACCGGCGCCGCCGCTAGACCCGCCACGCCAGAGCGCCTAGCTAGATACCGTACCTGGAGCTAGCATCAGCTACAGTTTCAGCTGGTCGTCGCAGCTTTTTAGCCTTGCCTATGCTGCTGGTGGTTCCTTTGTCTTCACTCCAAAAATATCTACAATGTATACGGTACCGTAAGTTTTAAATATGTCTATAGATATTCATCTTAGAGGAATAATCGATAAGGACTAGACTCTAGATCTAGGCCTAGACTCTAGTCTGATATTGTTTGAAAAACATTTGCCTTTGTATTTCATGAATAGTCCCAAATATAAACTTTTCTGTGTGTGATTCCATCGTTATTTGTGTGTGTGTGTGTTGGCAATTTTTCTACGAAAAAGTGTTGTACAATCAAAATTCATCCAACTTGAGCATACCAAATTCCACTTCACACTCCTATAATTTCAATGCATAAGGTCTAGCCATTAATTAACCGGTATCAACCTCATGAAACTCATTGGATTTTACTAAGTTAAACTAACATTAACAAATTACTTTTCCACACACTGGCATGCATGTAGGTCTAACGGGTCTACAAAACGAATACCGGTAGCCTAGATCTAGATCTAGATCTAGGCCTACTAAATTATAAATAGATCTAGGAGAAAATGTAAATTATTGTTCAATTGAATATTGAATATGAATCATTATGATGCTTCAAAATCATACTGCAGTTTAAATAACCTAAAAAAATCAGTTCTCTTATTTAATTTCATGATTCACACTCACAGCTCAAAATCGCGTTGAAAAACTGAAGAAACTGCCCCTTGATTTTATTCCATTGCACTTTGTTTCACTAGCGTTTGCGCATCGATAGACTTTATGATAGACTCTGTCTAGATCAACAGAAAATTCAAAGAAATTTTGGGCAAACCTTGATGAAACTGCGGCTATTTGTGCTGCTCACTCTCCTCATTTGGCATGTTTGGCGCTATAGCCAATGTACTATGTAGGTATTTCATTTAAAATAATTATTATAAAGTCAAAATGACTATATTGTCTACACATTCTTGGCATGCTTGTGAAATATTCCACCACTCATTCAAGGACTCTGCACAGTAAAGCCTAACGGTTCATTGTGCGCAATGCTTGCACATGTTATGTCTGTAGATTATATAGGCCTACACGAAGAAAAAAAAATGGTTTATTCACAAAATCAGTAGGGGTGCTAGTACGAGAATAAGCATTGTCCGCATAAACGACAATACCCTCGTAAATGCAGACCATTCGCATCCAGAAAAATAAGGATCATCCGCATTTTCGTGAAGGATCCGGATTCCCGATCCGCGCGTTGGTGATGCGAAAAACGGATTCCGCGATGATGCTCCATAATGCATTTTACACTTACGCAGAGACTTTCACGTTATGAACAATAAATCCTAGGGAAGACGGACAACCCATAGAAAGTATAGACGGTGAACTGGAGGTATTTTATTACGCGGAATCCGTTTTTCGCATTAATTGCCAGCACGCGGATCAGGAACCCTGTACCTGCAGAACATCGAAGAAGAAAAAACGTCCGTGAAAATTGCAGACAATCCTTATTTTTTTAGGTCGAGACTTGTCCGCGTTTACCAGGATATTTTCGTTTATGCGGACAATCTTCATTCTCAGACCAGTGCCCCTATAGAAAATGGCAATATTCCTCACATCAATTCCACTCTTAGAGAAATAACTTGGCACAAAGTACCCTGCAGGAAGTCAAGCTAGGGCCATGCAAGGACAAGTAAAAGGGCCACATCCAATCCATTGTAATTTGCAATTATAATTTTTTTTTCTTTTTCATAAAGATAGAGAATAATAGGAATAACTCATTGTTAAAAATACACATCACATATGATTTGAACAAAAATACCATGCAAACAAATTTCTATTTTTCTATTTGGGACTATTAAATGGCAAAATGGAATGATGATGCATTTTGGAGCAGGCAGCATGTTCTTGGCCATCAACACATAATTACCAGGATTTTTCACTGAATATTTTTTAGATGGAATATATTAATTGTTCTTTATGTTATCATTTCATTATATTTTAATCAATCAGATTTTATATGTTTTCATTGAAATGAGTTATCAATGTAATTTTTTTGGGGTAAAATTGTTTCTTAGGATCATACACTGGCCCAACTTTATTTTTGAAGAAAAATATGTTATTGTTTTGGTAATTACTGTTGTAATCTAACAATACGAACAAGCAAAGGGCATATACAGTAGTACACAATAAGCACTGACTTGAACAATTCAGGGAAAGCTAATGATCCTATGCACCTAATTCTGCATTGGTGTAGTACGTAGTTCCCATCATTTGCTTGCATCTTCACATTGGAGTGAATGTTGTTATAGGGTTCTATAGACTATTACCCCCCCCCCCCGGACAATCACCCCTGACAATTACCGCAAAAGAACATTTTACCCCCCCCCCCTTAAAAATTGGCCCCCCCCCCCTAACCCTCAATTGAAGCTGTTATTCAACCCTTACACTGACAGCAGTGATCACGGTTGACCTCTCAGTCATGAATATAAGCCATAAGGGGGAGGGGGGGGGTTATACTTTGCACCATACAAGTAGGGTGATCCTATACACCCAATTTTGCATCCAGTGGTTCCTATCATTTGTGATTTTTCCAAACATTATTTAAGTCAATTTTATAAATTCGCTTGCATCTTCAAATTGGAGTGATCGAATGCTGTTTTAGCAATATTTTAATTTTATTTTCATATTGCATCTTTTTAATACAAACAGAAAACCTAACATGCTTGAAGATGTAGAAGATCCTCGCTATCCATCCACCTTCGCAGCTTCTTTTGCCTCACAATTACCTCTGTCACAAGTCCTATCAAACACCGTGCCCGATTCTGGTGAAGCTGACAGCACTGGGGACACTTCGCCTCAATTGAAGCTGTTATTCAACCCTTAGACACAACCACTTGCCTCCTAATTACCTGCTATGAAAGAAATTACATATTGTGGTAAGTACATTAAAGCAGCAATGGGAATGTGGGGCTGTCTCACTGACAGCAGTGACCACAGTTGACGTACTCTCAGTCGTATAATCATCAGGGGCGGGGGTCATACGTTGACGCTATACAAGTAGCATGATCCTATACACCTAATTCTACATCCAGTGTTCCAATCATTTGTGATTTTCCCAGAGATTAAGTCAATTTTATAAATTTCCTTGCATCTTCACATTTGAGTATAATTTGTTTTAGCATGGGGCGTGGGAGGGGGAGGGGGGGGGGTCATACTTTGATGTCATACAAGTAGCATGATTCTGTACACCCTATTCTGTTTTAAGTTACGTTTATGAATTTGATTGCATCTTCACATTGTTTTGAATGATAGCTGTCATAAAATTAGTGATATTTCATGTTAATATTGCATCTATTATGAACAGAAACCAAACATGCTTGAAGATGTAGGAGATCCTCGCTATCCATCCACCTTCGCAGCTTCTTTTGCCTCCCAATTACCTCTGTCACAAGTCCTATTAAACACCGTGCCTGATTCTGGTGCAGATGACAGCACTGGGGACACTTCGCCTCAATTGAAGCTGCTATGAAGAAATTACATATTGTGGTGAGTACATTAAAGCAGCAATGGGAATGTGGGGCTGTCTCACTGACAGCAGTGATCATGGTTGACGTACTCTCAGTCGTATAATCATCATGGGCGGGGGTCATACGTTGATGCTATACAAGTAGCATGAACCTATACACCTAATTCTACATCCAGTGTTCCCATCATTTGTGATTTTCCCAGAGATTAAGTCAATTTTATAAATTTCCTTGCATCTTCACATTTGAGTGAATTTTGTTTTAGCATGGGGCATGGGGGGGGGGGGGGTCATACTTTGATGTCATACAAGTAGCATGATTATGTACACCCAATTCTGTTTTAAGTTTCGTTTATAGATTTGATTGCATTTGACATTCTTGAACATGTACGATATCCTCGCTATCCTTCCACCTTCACAGCTTCTTTTTCCTCACAATTACTTCTGTCACATCTAACACCATGCCTACTTTTGGTGCAGGGAGCCTAAAGGGCATTTCCAATTTCCTTTGGTTGTTGCCACTTTTTTTTTAATGAATGCGTTTTAAGCCTTGTAATTGCGATATCTTAGTAATCATTTGAGGTATGACCTTCAAACCTGCTAATAGTATGTATCACTTTAGGAAGACAATCTGATTATATTTTGCGGTAAGTAGGTCAAAGGTCACATAAGGATTTCTCTTTATGCCAATAGAAAAAACTCTCACATTGTTTAATACAGATAACGTTATAGAATTACACAATGGAGGGATTTTATTTTTTATTTTTTAATCTCTGAAACCCAAAACTGTACAAAATCCAGGAATGAAAATTTAATCTAATGATACTTTGATCTCAAGATGTTTTGGCGGACCCACCTCCCACTAGCATAGAGTGTTGAAAGAGTCACATACTTTTTACAGCAAACGTTATTGCTGAGGCATAACATAAACTGTTTTGCGAGAACGTGCAGTTTTCTTCATGTTGGACTGTTTTCAAGATATGTAATTTTCGATCTTTACCAATTAGTATTGCATCTGTTGGATCATTTAGAAGAAACACCTACTTATGATATTCATATTAAGGTTTATATGTGCCACATTAATCTGTACAAAGTAAAAAGGATATTTATTCAAGATTAAAATGATAGTGTTTAAGCCTATATTATACACTATTTATTTAAAAAAAAAATCAGTAATGTGAAGATAAGTTGAGGCTAGCAGTCTGCAATACTTTGAAACAGATAAAGTCCTGCAAACGAAACAAAATAGAGCCTCAAGCACGTTAGGAAATGTGTGTCGAAGTGTTGAAATGAAAAATTATCTTACAGTAGTCTGATTGGTGTCCCTTTTTTTATCTCCTTTGCAGCTTTGCTCAAGCTCAGCATCCATTATTTTTTATCAAAATTTAATGAATTTTTTCTTTTCTCTTTTGTTTCTTTTATTTGATAGAGCTACTAGCAAAGGAACAACTTCAACACTGCATCAAATGGCTCGACCAAAGTTATCAGTGGAGCAATATTCACCTGGTTTCCCCAAAACAAAACAGCACATCCCAAAGAATGGTGAACTCCAGTTGAAAAGACATGCGATTCTGAAATAACCATGGTCATTTCAGACATCTTGCGGGAGAATTAAAAGGGGCAAGAACATTCAGTGATTTAGATACATTTTACCATCAGGAGCATTCACTGCATTGCACAGTATGTTACTGAATAGTTGGAGAGAAACTGGACTCTGTGTAACTATACTAGACATGACAAGTACAGAAGTACTAGCTAGTAATGGACAAGGAATTTTACTCACGTGAGCAGTTCAAAACCGAATCCAAGTAAGTTTTCCTCAAGTGTATCCAACCAGCCCTTCAAATGCTGCACCTAGACCACAAGGCCATCCAAAACTGCACCACTCCGACAGTTCTGGGAGTTATATTACAGTCAGATCTCAAATGGAATTTCCAAGTGTTTGATATGATATCAAGTGCCGGCAAGCGACTATACATTTACGACATCTCAGAGTATCATGTGAAGATCTAGCAGACTTCTTCTTGACATATATCCGATCTTCGCTAGAATACGCTTCTCCAGTTTGGTCCACATCAATTTCCCGAACAGTTATCTTGAAGAAAGTGCAGAAACGTGTCTACTGTATTATCCTTGGATAAGAACAGTTGTATGAAACCACTCGTTTCTCTCCAGAGTCTAACTTCTTGCCATCTTGCCCTTCTTGAATCCTTTTCTCTCAAACTGTTTAAGTCATCACGAGATCGAATTATGTTCTACCGCCAACTCGTCGCCAAACCTCTTAATTGCCATGAACTCTGAAACTCTCTACACATAACTATACCCTATTGTAGAACTGAGAGACACCGCACTTCAATTATTCCCTTTATCGTACGACTCCTTAACAACTAACTGTGATTTTAATTATCTTTGTCATGTTTGTATTTATTTATTTTTGCTTACCATATTATTGTTTTTCATTCTTCTCTTTTCCATTCTTCATTCTTTTATCCTCCCCTCTCATGTACTTTTTCTCCTTCTCTATAAATCAGCAATTAAAGTACTTACAATAAGTCTTACATGCATTATGATTATTATTACAATTTTGATTAATTACAAAAGAGTCATCTCAGAATAAAGTATCTTTTTAAAGGTAAAGACCAGTATTGGACACGCCCCAATTTCAAAAAATGAAATGGAAACTCTCATTACCAATCATGTGAAAGAATATGTTTTGACTAATACATGTACATGATGATAAAAAATTTGCCGGGAACCGCCTACTAATTCATATATTTGGTAAATTTGTTTCTCTCGTGGTCGTGTGAGAGATATAGGGTAGTCCCATATACATCTTTCTGTGTATAGTGCTTGTAACTTTACGAAGAATGGGCCAAATTTCTTATCACTTTGATGATTCCAGAACTTTGCAGATGCTAGATGCTAGATGATCAACCTTTTCTGATCGATTCCACAACGTTTCTTTCACAATGCGATCGCATGACCATTACTGGTCTCTACCTTTAATCAATCTTTTTATTCATTATGTTTAGCTTGTATTTAGGTTGTTCACACCAATTAACCAATGTATCGGTTATTACAGAATTTTAAAATCACAATTATAGGCATGTATTTTCTGAGAGGGTGGTGTTGACTTTTTGTGACTGCTTTTATTTGTGTTTGCGATCATGGGATTTCATTTCTTTCATTACCCATTGTCGGTTTAATTCAAAACTGTATGAGTTTTAGAGCTCAATAAGTAATAAGTCTTATTTAGGTATCAACAAAAGCTTATACTCTGAACATAATTGTTTAAATATAAGGTTATACTATTTACAATTGCTATACAATTTCTATTTGGAGCATTTTTGGGGTACTAAAGTTCTTGCTAGATGTTAACCCAATGAAAAGTCATGCGTAAACAATTTTCAATATTATTATTCTACTCAAAGAAAAGAACGGGGTGATTTGTTTCCTTTTTTATACCTTTTTTCCTGTGTTTGGTACTAAATTTGTCATTATAGGAAATATATATTTTTGAAGTCATTGCCAATTTTCATGAGTTCGGCTCATGGTCAATTTTAGTTGAATTGCCCACATTCAAATGTATATAATTCTTTAAAATCATATTGATTTTATTTTGGCATGTATTCTTTGGTAGCAAAAATACACCCATCACATTAGGTAATTAAGCTAAGGGTAATTGCTGGTAAATTTTCGAATTCTCTGGTGTGCAAGTTTTATATAATCTCTCTATCTTTTATGAGGGAAAAGGTTAAACAAGTACCTACAGTCTTCTCAGAAAATACATAGTGCATGTACAGTGTAAGTTTAACTTAAATAATTGATATTCCTGTTATAGGCAGTTTAAGACTTTTCAACTGATATCTTGTCATGATCTTGGTTTTTGATAATTAATCGGTAGTGTTAATAGTTTAACATGGGTTGAGTTACTGAGAGGGCACTGATGTCATGGGGGGGGGGGGGCTGCTGCTCTTATTAATTGAATTAATTGTTTAGACAGATAACTGGAATCTCAAGTTGGAGCATATGTGGGAGGGGTCATGTTGCATTCCTTTACTTTTCTTTTCACTCCTTGATGGGATGTCACATATCATTTCAGATACCCCTCCCCCCCCCCCTATAGGTATTCCTCTCAAGCAAATCAATCGATAGAGGAATGTGTTATTGGGTTAGTTCAGCAATTACATAATGATGCCTTTTGTCTCAAATTTTCAGACTTGTTGGATTGGATAGGAAAGGATCTTAACCCTAATAAGGCCGGGGGGGGGGGGGGGCATTATGCCCCCCCCCCCCTCCACGATTTTTCCAATTGCTCGTGAACGCATATGGATGGCGCCCCGCCGCTCGCTGACTTTTTTCTTTCAAATCTTGCGCAACTTTTAAAAGAATTTTTTTGAAAATCGGACCTACGGTTACAAGGTCACGCGACCTTTTGTCTTTGCATGTCAGCCCGAAAATCGCTCATTTTCGTGATTTGTGTACAAAACATATGGAAAAGTCATTTTTCCTAAAAAAACAGATCAGACATGGGTTATTGGGTCTTGTTTAAAGTTAAGGTGGTTGTTTTGGGAGACAAAATAGTTGAATTGTAGTAAGAAATGAAATAGAACAACAAAACAATGAAATACATAAGAAATTATCAAAACAAGGGATAACATAAGGAATAAGCTGGCTCTTCCGAATTTTTTTGTCGTATTATTATTCAGAATGGTCTAATGAATATATGCAGTGAAAAAGAATGCATTAATATGAATAATATATGATTTATGGGTAAAAATGTGATTTGTATGACTTTATTTGCACAAATTACCATAAATATGCAAATGAGTGAATTTTTCAAAAAAAAATTGAAATTATCATATTATTCTATATACTTCACTTGACAGGCGTGCAAATTTTCGCGGCGATCGGCCGCTTTGCGGCCGAGATCTTAAGGGGGGCCATAATGCCCCCCCCCCCGGCCGTACTAAGACCTCAAATAGCCCGGCCTTATTAGGGTTAAAGTAGTATAGTTATTTTGGCTCTATGTTCTCCAGTTTCGCTCTGATGACTGCGAGGTTATGTCTTTTGTATGTCTTTTTTGAGAGGCATGTGCATTAGTCTTTTCTCTCTTTCATAGTATCAACTTGTATTGACATCTTTATATTAATTGCAATCATGTGATGTGTAATAACGAGTACATTTGTAGGTCCTATTATAATTCGTTTTTTTTCCTTTGGTGATGGATCCTTTCTCTGAATGCAATTTGTACTTTTTTTGCCTGTATAAACATCTATGTGTTTTTACATTTGTTGTTGTTCAGCTACCCTAAATACCCGACGTTATATTATTACCAAGAATGTGTTTCTTCTAACAATATTGACAGAAGAATTATATCTTTAATAAACGATTTTATCAGTATTGTACAGATGTACTTCAAACTGGATGAGATTTATTCTTTTGCAATTTCATGTCTTTGAATTGTTCGTTTGTGCCATTAAGTCAGTGTAGACAGACGTGGATGCACGTGGCGATTTTTCGGGCCCGGCTCCCCCCCCCCCCCCCCCACCCCCTAGTCTAAAAAAATGTTTAAAAAAATAGGATAATAACATAAATTTAACCTTTTTTTAAACAAAAACAAAAGCGGCGCCCCCCCCCCCCCCTGCATATTCACCGACTGGATGAATCGCTGCTAAATATTTTCTCACGAATTGGGCCCCAAAAAAATATATTAAAAAAAAATATATATATATATATATATATATGTGCTCTTACCCCCCCCCCCCCCCCCCCCCCCGCCGCTTATTAACAGCCGGCTTAGTCGGCGCTAAATTTTTCCTCTAAAACTGTACCCAAAAAAAAAAATGTGCTTCTACACCCAGCTCCCCCCCCCCCCCCCCCGTTTTTTTCATTTTTCACCGGCCGGCTTAGTCGGCGCTAAATTGTTTTCTCAAGATTTGCCCCCCCCCCCCACTCTTTTCGCCGGCTGGATCCGCCCCTGAGTGTAGACGCCACATACTTTAAGTATAATGGCTGCCAGCTGTGCCTTGGTGTGATTAAGAGAGACTTGATGTGAAATGGGTTGTTTGGAGAGGGAAGTCCTGGTCCATCATATTACGAGAAACCGGTAGGACGCCGCTAAAGTAAAGTAAAAATATTTGGACTAATTGCTGTAAGATGCCGAGAAAAGTAAAACATCTGCTCAGAGCTAGATTATATTCTGGATCTCCACAGAAACATGATAGCTGTTCAAAACACATCGGTGTTCTCTACTCTATGTCGCAAATTGGGAACTAGAAGGGCATTGATATAACCCTGTGATTTCACTGCATGTCATGAAAATCCTCTTATGTCACAACAAAATCAAAAACTATATTCCAGGGCTAAAATTGTCAAGCTTTTCATTACAATGCTGCCCCTCATCACTCATACAATGTACATTTTATAAACTGATGCACAATATTTTGTCAAATACTATTTTTCACATTTTCCTGCAATGCCCCGTTAAAATTAAAATTACATCTATGATTTAAGACATTCAATATATCTTACTAAGGCAATTCTACTGAATGTATGGGCATGGCTACATTTTATTTTCAATAATCTATAATCATTTTTGGTAATTCTCCTTGATAAATTTCCTAAATTATTACACTGTTTTAATATAGTTTGTAGATAATCCGTCTTATATTTAAAAGGGAGCAGTAGCTACAAGAAGCCTCCATTGACAAAACATGGCAAACATATTAAGAACAATGCGCTATTTAAGCACATTTTCCGTTTAGGGACAAACATCTGAATCCAATCAGTTGCAAGA